GCTGGAGAAAGTCAGCCTCTGTCCTTCCTGGCATTACCAAAGTAACTCACTAAAAAAATGGGGGCTTTTCTTCTGACTTCCTTCCGGGAATAATCACTTAATGGGGGACTATTTGGGGACATGTCCTGGGACCACCCTTGCAGTCGCCAATCTGAAATGGCCAGCATCCTGAGTCTCTTTCTTTTCTGTTTTTTTTTTTGAGACGGAATTTCACTCTTGTTGCCCAGGCTGGAGTGCATTGGCGTGTTCTTGGCTCACTGCAACCTCCACCTTCTGGGTTCAAGAGATTCTCCTGCCTCAGCCTCCCAGGTATTTGGGATTACAGGTGCTTGCCACCATGCCCAGCTAAGTTTTTGTGTTTTAGGAGTGACGGCATTTCATCATGTTGGCCAGGCTGGTCTCAAACTCCTGTCCTCAGGTAATCCTCCCAAAGTGCTGAGATTATAGGCGTGAGTCACCGCACCTGGCACGTGATCACTGCACCTGGCTGTGAGCCTCTTCAGTGCCCCTAGGTCCTCAGCCCGCCCTTCTCTCCTCTGCTATGAGCTCCTAAGGGCTGACTTCTGCAGCTTGCATCACCTGGGTGCCCCTGCCCTCAGATTCCAGGAGGGTTTGACCAATGGGAGGCCCTGACAGGGAATTGAGGGTGGGAGGAGAGCAAAGTCCTTGCTGAGTGACTGGGTTGGCCATGTGCCTCCCATCCTACTCTCTGGGTGCTACTAGCTGTTCCGGTGCTGGCTCCGTTAGGCCAGGGGTGCTGATGGCTGCCACTGCTGCCAGCCCCGAGACCTGCCAGCCCCATCCTTTGTTGGCTGCCCTAACCCCGTCCACACCTTGATACATACTCTCTTTCCATTTCCCCCAGTGACCCTGTTTGAATGTGCCATGTGCCTCTGCCAGCACCCTGGCTGATACCCTCTGCAAACACTCATGCCTGTTAACTAAGAGGCAGTGGTCCTTTCTGGACCTCTCCCCATCAAGCTGCTGAGAATAGCCAGGATGGGAGGCCAGGCCCAAGGTCATCTGCCCTGAGCTCCCTCTGTAGCTCAGGCTGCTTTGGTTCCCAGTGAAGCAGCTGGCTTCTTGCCTCCCAGGGTGCTCAGCAGGACCCAGTGCCAGCAGCCGAGCTCAGGGCACTGGCTGGTGATGCAGCCCTACAGAAAGGTAACTGATGCCCAACCTCCAAAACACAATCTGCCAGCTTCACGTTGACAGCCCACAGCCTAGGTGGCCTTGGGTGACCTGGGCGAGGTGGGACACAAGACAGAGCATGGCTCCCTCTTTGGCATCAAGCCTATTTGGGTGTGTTTGTGAATGACAGGTCTTGTCATACACTTTTCCATGCCCAGAGTGGGACACGGAGTGGCCGCAGCAGAGTGACTCTCATGAGAGCTTCACCTGGAGAGTGGGGGACACAGGTTTTCTGACCTCCCAGCTGAAGGCCCACCTCCAGGCACCCCAAAGGAGGCTTGGAGAGAGACTGGAGGTTCTTTCTGAGATGTGCCTACACAGTTCTTGGCCTGTTCAGGAGCTGGCAAGGGTTAGGGGGTGACAGGGACCTCAGAGGCCACTGTACTTCTATCCCAGGGCACTGCTGTCAGCCCCACTGGGAGCCCAGCAAGCTGTGCTTTCTGGATTGCAGTGGACACCAGCCCCTCCTTGGAAGGCAGAGTGACCCACATGGGCATTAACATATGACCCTGTGGCTGGTGGGTGCTGAAGGCCCTATCTGCCGGGATGGCCCTGGTTACTGTGCCATCAGCATTGAGCTGACCTGAGGACCTCCATATCTTCTGGGAAGAAGGGCACTGTCTAGCCCACCTTCCCCAGATGAGATATCCTGGACATCTTCACTCTCTCATTCAGCCTCCACAGCCAGCAGAGAGACTGGCTATGGCAGGCAGTCAGGTCAGCTGTGGCTGAGCCTGGGACTCAGGCTGAAGGTCAGGGGAAGAGGGATTCAAGCAGGAGTGCTCTGACCTTGGTCTCATTACCATTTTGTGGGCACAACCAAGTTCACGCTGAAAGATCTCTTTCACATGGTCTTGACCAAAGTCTTTAACCAACTGCCGGCTCCACTTGGCATTCAAGGTCCTCCATAGCCTGGCGTCCAAATGCCCCTTAGCTCTATCTGCCCATCCTCCCCCTCCAGCTAGAGCAGTTAATAACCAGGGTGATAATAATGAACATCTATGTGTAGCAATTTCCATACTAAGCTACCTCTGAGGTCAGAGAGATTATCCTGTTCATGTTACAGACGGCTCAGAGATGCTAAGACACTGGCCTAAAATCACACAGCCAGTAAGGGCACAACCCACAACTGGACTTCGGTCTTTCAAATCCTTCAGGAATATCCTAGAGGTATGTCCCAGCCTGTAATGCACATTTCCTTGCTGGGGCCCAAAGGGATGGGGAAGAAGGATGTTCTTTTCACCAATCAGCATCAGTTACACTAATGGCTCTGTAAGTCAATAGGCATTCTCCCTGTGCAGGGCCTGTATGCTGAACAGAGATGGCTAACTCCTCGAAGAGTCATGCTCCCCTTGCACTGTGAAGATGAGGCCCGAAAGCAGCTGCCACTCCAAGGACTACATTTCCCAGTGTCCCCTACATCTGTGTTGGGCTATGTGACTGAGTTCTGGCTGATGGAAGAGGGTAGAAGTGATATTTACCACTTCTAGACCTGGTGCTTAAAAACCACCTTGCCATTTTTTTAAACCAGCCTTTCTCTGAGAGAGTTAAGTGTTGCCAGAATGATTTGAGTGGCTATTTTCTTAGTTTCCCACAAATGATAGATACTTAGGGCTGTCCTAAATGCATATGAAACAAGTTGATTGATTATACACAATGCACGCCTGAGAGCATTACAGCTTCATTCTCTCAGGGCAGTGAGGTGACAAGGGCTGCTTCTGTCTCTCCTCCCTGATCTATGTCATGCCCAGAGTGACTTTGGAAGCCTCTTGCTGAGGCTGGTATTCTCAGCCTGGGTCCCTGAATGACTGCATGGAACAGAGCCACCACATGCCCTGAGGCGCTCCAGCGCAGGACTTGATGTGAAAAAAAAATATTACATTTGAATTGTGTCAAGCCACTGACGTTTATTTGTCACAGCGCCTAGTGATATCTTATTGCAGAGGGTGGAAAGTTCCCAGGCCCTCTACAGGTCCCTACCTTCCCCAATAGCCTGAGGGGACAGTCTTGTAAGGCCCTGTGTGGCATCCAAGAGGGTTGAGGCCTTGGGATCAAGCCAGTAGCCTGAGACGCACTGAGGAGGTGGCCACTGTGGGTTGAGCTGAATGAGAAACAGAACTGGACTGATATGCCAGACAGACTGCAGGCTCAACTGTCAGAGGGCTTGAGAGTTAGCGAGGGAGGCAGGATGAGATCATGGCGAGAAAGACCTGCCCCTTCGGGTTCTGCAGGTAGTCCAGGAGCCCACGGGCAGACCACCCTTTGAGAACTACCACTGTAGGGGCGCGACAGTGTGCTCTGCCACATCTAGGAGGTTTCACATGTACTTGTACCAAAGCCAGCTTTCCAGGGCTGTGTGGCCAGGAGAGATTTCCCTGTGGGACTCTGCATCAAACAAGGCTGAGGGGAGGGGCTGAGAGAGGGAGTCACCTGCTTACAGTCAGGCATGGGGGTGGGCCCAGCTTGGAGCAGGGGGAGAGAGTGGGGATGCCTTGGAAGAAGGGGCACACTGGGCAGGCCTTTCTACCCTCCATAACCTCCCCCCCTCCTCCACCTCTGCCCACAGCTCCTACAGCTCCAGAGCTGCCTGCTGGGAGTAGTCAGGCCATCATTTTCTCTCCTCCTTTTGCCTTCCCACATCCTTCCCCTCGCACTCCAGCCTCTCAGCTCCCTAAGAAAGCAAGCCTTCCCCTCTGGGTGTCAAGTTCTTAACAGTGACTTGGGTCTCAGTCCTTACTGCCCCCGCCCCAAAGACAAAGGGTGGGGAGCTGCGATTTATAGCACAGTATATACAAAGCTGATGCCTAGGGCCAGCCTGCATTTAGCCAAAGAGAGCAGAGGTTCCCCAGCCAGGTCCCTCCACACCCTTGGACAAAGTCTGTTCAACGCAGCATGAGCAAGCAGCATAGAAACCAACACAACCCGCGTTTTAACCCCTCCCGCTCTCCACAACGTGCCATTGCCCACACCTGGGGATAGCTCCTTTCCACTATCAGGGCTGGCAGAGTGCTGGCCCCTTGCTACCATCAGAGCTCAGCCCTCAGGGTCCAGTTCTCCAAACCCAAAAGAGGTCGCCTCCCCACACTACAACCTCCAGCGAACCCGGAGGTCTCTGGCAGGGCAGCCCCCTCCCCCATTCATAAATGCATATCATAAATGCTTCCAGAGGCCAGGAGGAAAGACAGAGAAACGACGGAAAGACGGTTCCTAGGGGAGGGCACTCCCGACCTAACTAGGAACGAGTAGCATATGCAAATGAGCAGAGAGGGATGGTCCTGGCTCCGGAGTCCCCCAGGGCGTTCCGCGCAACCCTGGTCTCGCGCCCTCCCGGTGCGTGCGCCCCTTCTCCGCGCGCCCTTACCTGAGCCGTGTCTCTGGCGCAGCAGAACCGCCTGTCCCGATGGCGGCGACGCTGACGAAGCAGCAGCAGCTGCCGCGACGGTGGTGGTGGCCGTGTGGGCCGCGGAGGCTGCCGCGGCCTCGGGGACTGAGGGATTGGCGGCGGCAGGAGGGCTCCCGGGCGGCGGGGTCTTGTCTCCGCGGCCGGGTTCGGAGGTGGTACGGCTCGCGGCGCCCGAGTTGTTGGCGTTGGCGGCGCTGGCTGGGCCGTGGCGACGCGGGCCGCTGCTCTGGATGTGGGACACGGCCTCGGCGGCCTGCATGTTAGGCGGCGCGAAGCGCGAGAGCACGCGCAGCAGCGCCTGGGCCTTGTGCTCCTGCGTGTCGTCGTCGCTGTAGTCCGACACGCGGCACTCGTACACGCCCTCGTCCTGCAGTCGCACGGCAGACAGCCGAAGCCTGTGTGAGATGTCGTTGCCCTGGACGCGCACGGTCTGCAAGAGAGCAGGGTTAGAGGCCGGGCTGGGCAGCTCCCAAACCTGCTCTTCTGGCCGCCTTGGCCGTCGCGCCCCCTAGTCCGTGCACCCCACTTTCCGGACCCTGGTTTGCCCACCATAACGATCCGGCTTCCCTTTCAACCCCGTCTCCGCCGTGGCATCGGGCTTACAACTCTGCGTGGACGCCGGGCCGCCTGCTCTTGTGTCCCCACCATCTTAACCAAACTCCCACCTTGCATCTGCCCTGTCCATACAAACCAACACTGCTCGTCTTCCTGTAGCTGGTCCTTCATATAGGCAGAGCCCACCTCTCCTTCCTCCCTCCGTCACCTTTGGGAAACCCCAGGCTGGGGTCCCTGTTCGCTAACTGCCCCAAGTCTTTCCCGCCGAGACTCGCTCCATCCTACAGCGCCGCCCCAGCCGGCCCTCCACACCTCCTCGCGCAAGCACGGAGGGCCTGCCTGAATCGCGTCCTAAGGAGAGCCACCCTGTCCCCGGACCCCGCCTTCACAGCTAACAGTCCACCCTCTCAAGGAGGCAGGCTAAGCTGAGGCTGCTGCCGGGCTCCCTGGACACCCCGCCTTTGCGCAGGATCTCCAGAAGCCCTCAGGGAAGTGCTCCTCCCCAGCGCCCCGGTGGGGACTTCGGGACGGAACCTCTCTGTGGTTCTCACCAAACATCCAGGGAACCCTCACCTCTAACCGAGCCCACGAGGAGGCTTCGTCATCGCCAGGCCCTTCTACGCTCCAGCTGGGAAGCTTGGGCGCATCTCCTCTCAGTTACCAACCCCAAGACCCAGGACCCGCGCAGCGTGGCACGACCACCCCCTACCCAATCCCCCGCAAGCCTGCAACACCCCGCACCCAGACCCACAGTCCAGGCGAAGGAGAGAGGGTTGCAGCGGAGGGCCCGGAGCGGATGCTCAGGGCGGGGCGGAGGGGGCGGGAAGCTGGAGCCACGGTCGCGGCGAGGGCGAGCAGCCGCGCGCTCCCGGTGCTGGGAGGAATGCCTGCAGAACCGAGGCGATCAGACGCGAGGAGGCCTGAGCGCGCGGTCTGGACCAAGGGGAGTTTTACAGGTGAGCGCCAAGCCGCATCAGGGGACTCAGGCCTTGGACCCTTGATTTACACAAAAGAGAACCCGACCCTGCAACCGGCGACAGATGGCGCCCGGACACGCCAAGCAGCTGCCAATACGAGGCTGCGATCGCGGCCCTGCACGCGCAGCCCCCCTTGCGCGGCTGCCGTGGCGTGCTAAGGGGAGGGAGCTGCGGGGCGCGAGGCGGCCAGAAGGGGTCTCCCGCGGCCCGCGCTGGGCTCCACACTTACGCTGATTTTAGTTGCATCCTTATTTGTTACCTAAAATGCAAAGAGGGAGAGAGAGAGACATGAGGCTCGAGGCCTTCTGGCTGGGGGAACTCAGATCCGCCTTTAGGCAAGGGCACCCTCCGCGGGCGGGCTAGGACCGAAACGGCCCGGAGGGTGGGGATTGAGGGCACAAAGGACGTCCGGATTTCCAGGAGTTTCCCCGGGAGAAAGCTGGGTTTAGAGCTAGCATGATGCCTGGCCAAGGGGTGGCTGCCCTGGTGCACACCTGCCGGCTGAACTAGGGAGACTGGATGGCCACCAGGGTGGGAAGGAAGGCCCCTCTCCTCGCCTGGCATCCTTAGGCCCTGCCAGGTGGCTCAAAATCCTCCCCCAGCTCACTGGGAGCCGTGAAGAACTGGAGGGAGGGACCCTGCGGGAGGCTCAGTGGCAGTAACTCTGGGTGGGACCCTGGGAGAATGTAGGTGTGTATGTGCATGCGTGCACCCTAGAGTGTGTAAGAGAGTGTGGGTTTTGAGGTAGACAGGCAGCGTGGTCCTGTTTTCAGCCACGGGGAGGTTGCCCCTCTGTTCCCCTGAGGGCTGGAAGTCCTGCCGGCTTCCTGGTACTCGGTTTTCTGCTGGCCTCCGGAACGCAGCCCAGGGAAGCCCTGGGGTCCTCAAAGTGGCAGAGGGCAGGGACAGCCTGATGGGACCAAGGGGGCTTCCTTCACTACTCAGCACCCATCAGACGCTGGGGCCGCAGCCAGCAAGCACGGGCCAGCGACCTGGCTAAGGTGTGGCTCTTTAGGGGCTGGGCGTGAATAGAGTTCCCAGAGGTGGCGGGAACAGGGATGCTGTCGGAACAATTGACCGGTTTAGGGGTAACAACTGCTGAGTTTGAAGATGCTTGCGAGGGTGGAAGATGGGCCGTGCCACGGGGCGGCGCCCTGCGCGGGTGAAGCCGGCTGCTTCCCTCCCCGGGTGGCCCTCGCCGCCCCGGGCCCGAGCCAGGCGCGCGCCGGCACCGTGTGGGCGGCGGGTTACCTTGCTCCGGGCGCCGGGCACGCTGAGCGCCAGCTCGTGCAGCAGCTCCCGGGGCGGCTCCTTGAGGTACCACCACTGAATCTCCAGTGAATACGACGTGGCTCCGCTGGCCCGGAAAGCGCAGGGCATTTCGATGTCGTCTCCCTCCCGTACTGTCACATCTTTGGGGACTTCTGTGAATGTAGCTGGGGGTTGGGGGAAAGAGAGGCGTGACCAGCTGTAGGGCGGGGGCCTGGGGCAACCCAAAGGGAGGCGGTCGGTCTCTGGCTCTCTGGCCTTGTGCTCCCCACCCCGCAGCTGCTCCGTGGCGCACGGCCGGAGGTGCTAGCAAAGTTCGGGGAAGCGGCAGCAGGGCCGCGACAGGGACTGGCCACCGGCTGCCGGCTGCTTCCCTCTGGATCGCTCGGGGCGGTAGGGGTAGCTAGTGCTTCTCTCCCGCGCCGGGCCGCTTGGTCAGAGTCTGGCTGGGGCTCGCCAACTCCCGCTCCCCGCAGGCCTCCTTTCCGCAGGCGGGCCCGGCCGGACTGGGAACGACTCGGGCGCGGCGCTGCAGCTGCTGTGACCCTTCACGGCTCGCCTCCCTCTACCCCCGCGGGCCCCGGGCTGCACAGCGGGATTGCTGGAGACCGCGTAGCTTCCCAGTTCTCGGTAGCTGCCCCAGCAAAGAACCCCCCCACCCCCACCCCTTGAGCCCACCGCGGCAGCAAAGTTCCCGCGCTCACCGTCGGCCAGGAAGAGCAGCAGGGCATGCAGCAGCAGAGGCGGCAGGTATCCGAAGGCACCGAGCCGGTTCCGCTGTTCCATCTCCCGCGGGGGGCGCGGCGGCGGCGGGGGCCCGGGAGCGGAGAGGTGGCGGCCGCGTGGGCTCGGATCGGCTCCGGCTCCGGCTAGGACGCCTCCGAGCCTGCCATGGCCCCGCGCGGCGCCCCCTCCCCTGGCCGCCGGCGGCCGCCAATCAGCCCAGCTCCCTCGCCGGCCTGCCCGGCGCGGCTCCGGCGGGGGGCGCTGCGCGGGGTGTGCGAGAGCCGAGGTCCCGCCGGGAGGGTGCTGGAGATCGGTCAGTGCCTCTCTCTGTTCCGTCGTCCACAGGACGGTGGGGATCCGCCGTTCAGTCTTTGCCCAGAGGGCCGGGCAGGGGCTGGGCCGCGCCGGGACCCATCCCTGGCCGAGGGAGTGCGCGCCTTGGAGCCGCGAGCTTCTGTCTCCCTGTCTCCTTCTGGTTCTGCTCCCGACTGGCACCTCCTTCGGCTCCCGCCGCCGCCCCCGCCGGTTCCTCCACGGCTCTTTCCGCAGGGCGAGTGGGCGCTCAGCCGCGGCGCGCAGAGCTGGAGTCCGACCCAGCACAGCGCGGGGAGAGCGGGTCCGGCGTGGCGGACCCGGAGCCGGAGAGAGAGGTGGGGAGAGGGGGAGGGGAGGGGAAGGGAGGGGGCGGTCAGTGGCTGGGCTCCAAGCCGCCTCCACGGCTGCATCGCCCCCGCCCTCCCCTCTCCTGCCACAGCCCGCCCAGCCCCCGCCCCGGAGCGCGCCCTCTCTCTCCGCGGGGGTCGCTCGGAGGGACCACCGTCTTTCTGGTTGGAGCACAGCCCCGCCCCGCTCCCGCTTGGGTTGGGAGTCCTCCCACCCAAACTCTCCCTGGCTTCTTCCTAGTCTTCACTGCTCCAGACGGCCGCTCATCCCTGCTCCCGGTGTGTCCCGCGGTCCTCTCCGCAGCTCCCAGCCCTCAACTCCTTACCCCAGTTTGGACAACCAGCTGCCCCGCTGTTTGGCCCAGGCCCGGGCCATGGCGGGTGGGTGGGCGCCCGGGGCTGCGAGAAGGGCTGAACGCTGTGCCCAGCCGGGGACGAGGCTGGGTGGCGGCGGCTGCGCCGGGAGTCTGCAGTGCGCGAGGGAGAAGTGAGCGCACAGCTCCCAGTGAGCAGGTGCCTGTGGCGCGGAGAGCGCACCCGCGAGCCAGCCGGCAGCGGCCGTGAGTGACAGCAGGGGCAGCGGGGGTGGGGTGGGGAGCGCCGGGCACGACTGAGGGCCCGGGAGGTTTCCGGGCGGGGGCGGGGTTCCTGCCCCTGGATCGCGGGTTCCTGCATCCCCACGAGCTCTTCGCCGGTGGTGGGCCCTTCTTTACCCCGTGCAAAGCGAGATCCCGAGGCGGCAGGAGGCCGGAACCTATCCCCCACCTGCTCTGGCATACCGGGCATCCTGGCGCCTCCCTCAGCCTTCACCCGGAGTCTGCCCCCTCCCCAGCCATGTGAGGGAGCCCAGTCTGGTCCCCAAGGGAAACGTGAGGTGGACAAGTGGTTCTGAAGCGACGCGTAGTCATAGTAATAGGGGCGAGTCCCAAGGCTTGCCTCGGGTCTCTCCTCTCTCTTCCGTGGGAGTCCCCAGCCAGCACATTTCAGCACCTCTGCGCCTACCCCGGCCCCCACGCCTCAGCTCTGACCTGAGGTTGGGATGGGGCAGCCCGGTGGATTCACGTGTCTGCTTCCCCAGCTACCAGCCCCAGCCTCCCGGAGGCAACGCCAGAGGCTTCCCCGGGAGCCAAGGAGAAGGAAACCCAGAGGGAAGACAATTTCCAGCAGCCACCCTGGTCCAGGCGGCCAGCGCAGCACAGCACAGCTCAGAGGGGAGGAGCCATAGGCCCACTCCAAGGCTGTCCTCGCCAGCGGGGTGCCCGTACCAGCTCTTCGTGCCTCCCTCTGCCAGCCTTTTAGTTTCCTCGTTTATGGCCCAGGAGTCACTCCCAACCCCTGGCTCACTGTGGCTCATCTATCAAGCCCCTCTTTGCTAAGATCTCCTGCTGCGGGCAGGGGGAAGTCCTGTAGGACTTCCCTCTTTCAGTCAAGTTCCTCTCTAGGGGCTCCACAGAGGCAGTTGCCAGCTCCTTCTGTCATGGCAGGAGCTTTTCCTTGGAAATCCCATGTGCCCTTAGAAACCACTCTGGACCTCCAAATATAAGACCCTGCCGGGCCCCATTGCTGTCCTCAGCTTCTGAAGGGAGAGGGCAGGCTTGCACCGCACTATGCAGATTCAGGTTCACGGTGGGGTTCCAGGAAAGCAGGCTCATTTGGGGACTCATTCCAAGCAGGGGTCTGAAGGAAGAGCTAGCCCACTGAGCAGCCACCCACCTGGAGAGGCATGGGTCTCCTTTCCTGGTGCCAGATCCAAGCAGAGGCTAATGCTAAAGATCAGCAATGCCTGTGGGAGAATCCCTGTAGCTGGAGGGAATTACCTGGAAGGTTTGCAGATCCTTTATCCCTGTACCGCCTTTTGGCATTAGGTGTTTCTTGTCTACTGCATGAGCTGATATTGCTCTAAGAGGGACAGATACATGTTTTCACATGCTTTTCATGTACTAGACACTGGTTGCGCACTTTCAGGCATCAGTTCTCAACGTGACAGAGATCCTTCTCACAGGGAAATCAGATCTCTCTTCCACGGCTGAAACCCCGCAGTGGCTCCCATTTCACTTGGCATAAACGCCAGTGGCCTTGCAGCGGCTGCCAAGGTCAAAACCATCTGCTTTCCTTCTTCCTGCTCACCCCCTTCCTTCATCTCCTCATCTTTTCTGTCCTCTCCATAGCTCACACGTTCCTAGCCACATGGCCCTTCCTACAATGCAGCTCACTGGGCAGGCTCTACCCCAGGGCCCTTGCACCAGCTGCACCATCTGGCTGACATGCTTCTCCTGCAGGTACCTGTTTGCCTAACTCTGTTGTGTTCCGGTTTTTGTCAAG